CATAACTCTGCAACAGTTTGATCAAGGAAAATTAAATTTTATATATAACAAGCGCTAAACAAGCCATGAAAAGTTATCATACAAGTCAACAAAAATGAAACATTTTTTAATTTTCAAATTTCATTCAAATTTCAGTGCATAATAACCTGCACTGCACTGATCATTATGAAATTTTGCATTTTTAGCATTAATTTATTAGGTTCTTTACTATATTTGTTGAGAACTGGCCACCAGGTGGTGCTACAACAAGCTAACTTACGCTTTTGCTAACAACTCTGGAAACTTGATGGCTAGAATAAAAATAAAAAACACATTTTTCAAACTTATTCTGGGTCATTGTCTGATTCATAAAATTGGTATGAACCATACTGAGAGAAAACTTTATCAAAATTATTTAAATTCATTTAATCACAGATATGGGCCAATATATTTTGGGGTGTGGCCTAGAATGACTCATAGGCCTATTTCTTGTAAGCACATTGTTCAAACTTCTCCAAACCTGGCAAAAATTAAAAATGGGACATTTTGAGAGCAATTCAATATTTCATGCATTTCTGATGTTCTAAATGATTAGCCATTTTATATAAATGTGAATTCCAGAGAGGGATACTCTTAACTGTGAATCAGAGAATCAACCCTTTGTACAACCCTGTTTGTTGCTGCCGTGTGTTTTGAGTTTGAGCTCCGTCAAGTTAATTCTTTGTCGTCTAATTTTTTATCTTAAAATCAATTTTATACACCATCATTTTCGTTTCTATAACGTGTGAATACATCCCCTATCGTATTCTACAACAAAAACAATCAGAGCGCCTTGTTATCACTAGTTCTATTTTGATTTCCCGAGTCCGCTATTAGCAAATAGCCCGCTAGCACGCTGCTCATGTTCTCGTTGTTTCTGCGCAGATACCCACGATCCTGAAGGGTGACGAGAGCCCCGGAGCGGTCGTGCTTCACGCGGGGGCTAACAACACCAAGCTGCGGCAGACGGAGACGCTGAAGAGGGACTTCAGGAGCCTGATCGAGACGGTGCGCCGCACATCGCCCGCGACGACGATCATCGTGTCAGGACCGCTTCCCACGTATCGACGAGGACATGAAAGGTTCAGTAGACTTTTTGCTTTAAATGAATGGTTATTGTCATGGTGTAACGAACAGAAACTGCTCTTTATTAATAATTGGAATCTTTTCTGGGAGCGTCCAAGGCTTAATGTGACTTTGCTGCAGCCTGGAATTGTACTGCTGGTTTCGTCTGGTCAGAGGAGAACTGGCCCCCGACTGAGCCTGGTTTCTCCCAAGGTTTTTTCTCCATTCTGTCACCGATGGAGTTTTGGTTCCTTGCCGCTGTCGCCTCTGACTTGCTTAGTTGGGGACACTTCATTTCTAGCAATATCGTTGACTTGATTGCAAATGATTGCAAAGATACTATTTAAACTGAACTGAGCTGGATGATGACATCACTGAATTCAATGATGAACTGTCTTTAACTGAAAAATTAGTGTTTACGATTGTCATTTTGCATTATTGACACACTATTTTCTTAATTAATGCTGTTCAGTTGCTTTGACACAATCTGTATTGTTAAAAGCGCTGTATAAATAAAGGTGACTTGACTTGACTTGTGAATGACAGCAGTAGGCTGTAATACTAAAATCTGTGATCTCCAACATGCTTAACAGATCAAATTGTTTTCTCAAATTATGAACATGCATGCAAGCAATCAATATCTGCTTGTTCCTGTGCACCGGGAAGCTGTGCACTGTGAGCTGATAATAAAAAAGTCAAGTCAACTCTGATTCCCGACTCCCACCATAGGTACAAGTTGATTCCCTTAAAAAGTGTACTCAACCCTGAGACTCAACCAACCCAACACAGCATCGTTGACTCAACCAAATGTGTAAGTTTGGGGTGTGACTATCTGTTTGTCCAACCAGTGGCAGAAGGGGGAGTGTTCAGAAACCATTTTAACAGCTTGGCTAACTCATAAGCACACCGTTACCTGAGAAACATTTAGCGGTTATCTCTATTCACTGGTTACCTGTGTAGACTTGGTGCCATAAAAAGTACTCAAAAAAAAGTTAATAGTGTTTGAATCCAATAAGTGATGAGCGATTTGTGCAACACCTGACAGAGTAGATTAAGACGAGCAGTTTTCTGTGATGCACGAGCATCTTACAGTTCTAATTAACCTTCCTACTGCTCTAATTAATTAAATTCCAGCAAGGTCAAGCGCTATGAATTGAACAATTAAGCACTTACCCGGTATGAGACATTTGCAGTGTTAACTTAGTAAGGTTCAGCCTCGAGTGCAGCAGAAACACGTGAATGCAGGGGGTTTGGGTGTGTTTCCAGCAGTCTGCTTGGCACATCTGCTGATGGTGGCTGATGGTATGTTCAGGGAGCACTCACATGTGTTATTCTCTATCCATCTGCCCACAAGTCATCACGTGAAAGTCGACAGAGGGCAAGAAACTGAGAAGAAACCTGGCACCAGCACTTTCTAGTTTTATGGTCCTTGTTGCAACCTGAGCCTGAGACACCACCAGGGTAATGAAGCAGTTGGACACAACAGCTTGTTGATGTTCCAGAACGGCTCTAATAACTAGGTATCATTTACAATGCTGGTCCCCCCAAGACCTAACCCATTCCTGTCTAGCAGTGTGTAACCTGCCAAATGTGACTGCCAACTGTTCCTGTCCTCAGGACATCCTTCTATTTGGCGCTCGTACAGTGTTCGGATCTGACAGCAGGCCTGACACTGTCCTTTGTGGGATTGTTAGCAATATTGTTGTGCCTCCTCATCAAACTCAACTCGGAGAACAATACATAATGTATTATTTCTCTCATCTTTGGTAAAGTATAAAGGACCTTCAAGGCCTTCTGTAACACTTGAAAAGATTATAACTTTCCATCCCTTTCATTTGTCACAAGACTTCACTTGAGTTTATCTGTAATTAAGGTAAAAGTGGTCAAAAAAAGTGCAATAAACTTCAGGAAGTGACTCTTGCAGCCCTTTGACTGTACTTCCAACAAAATTTCCAAATGAAATGCTCTACACTTGCATGTATCTTCTATGTTCCTCCAGGTCATTTGGCCTCTACATTTTTTATGTAAATCATTGTTGCAAGATTAATGTGTTTAGTTGGGTGGACAAAATGTATCTGGCTTGCAATCATTTGGGTGGATTTTATAAACATGTACAATGATGAAATTATATTGCTTAATTGTGAAAGAGAAATTCTAAAAAATATAAGTTGTATTTAGCAGTCAGAACACCAGAGACTACTGGGGTGGCAAAATAATGGCTAGAAAACAAGCCTTTCCATGCAGCATGTCCATTTTAGTTCACTTAATGAACCAATGACTCTTTGAAAAACACAAAGAGTGCAACCAATGTAGTCCAATTCACAAACAAATGGAGCGGGTTTCACTCAGAACACACTCACTACCAAATCAACATCTGACCTCTAACTGAACTGAAAGATATCAATAACTTGTTATAAAACTTCTCTGGAAAAATATACAACTGCTTCTACACACCAAACTCAAATATTTCGATGTGTTATACTGGTTTTCCCTCAGGAGATTCATCGTTCACAGACTTATGTTGTGATTTTAATCCCATGTAAATTGAGCACTGTCTGTGATTTTACCCGCACCAGCTCTGAAAACTATAGGGGGAAATTCCTGGGGTTTTTTCGGCCAGCTCAGCGGTCCCCTGAGAAATCGAATCCCGTGCGGATAGAAGGTCTGTGATTGCGGTATACAACGATTCTCCTCATTTGTTTTGACCCTTGTCGAGCACCTTAACAAGCGTTTTCTCAGGGTTTGCAGATTGTCTGACTGCCCGCTCCACCTGCATTATAGATTTTGCCATCCAACGAAAAATAGCATCAGTAAGATGATCCCGATCACAGAAACTATGATAGTAAAGTTAAATATTTGTATAATGCATCCATATACTGTGTACATACTGTATTGTATAAATCCTCTATATGTGTATGTGTATATTTTGTATTATGTATATATATATATATACAAGCACAACAATAAAGCGGAACATTTCTGAAAATTTACTTAACATTATTTCTAATTTACTTCAAATTCCATTGCTAAAATATTTTTGTCAAACTTGAAAAATGTAAACAGCAGTGTCTCTATCGTTGTTATAACAGTATATATTAGTTTTTAACAGGTAGTGCAAATATTTTTCACTTACTTTATTTTAACTTAAATAACTTAAAACCTTGCACTCAACTAACAACATTGCACTGAACAAATGCAAACCCTGAATACGTTAGTACACTATTCTATTTCTTGCCAGACACCTGGCAGCGCTTCTGCTCACACAACTGAGCCACGTTTGCCCTGATGGAGGTCACAGTTGAAACTCTGAGTACAGCTTCAAGATGGGCATCACTAAGCCTGGACCTGTACTTGCATTTATTGAAGTTCATAGTTGAGAAAAGTTTCTCACAAAGATATGTGCTTCCAAAAGAGCACATTACCCGAGTGAACACTTTGGACAGCTCTGGGAAGCATGGAGGTAATTCTCTCAAAAACTGTCCAGTCTTGTCTGCTTGTCCCTGAGCCTCTCTGAATTTAGTTTTTAGCTCACTGTTGCACTGCAAGTCAATAAGTTCCATTTGCAACAAACTTGGGACACTCTCCACATCAGCCGAGAAGGGGTCTGCAAACAGCTGGAAAGTGTCACGATGTGCCTTGAAGTCAGCAAAACGCTGATCAAATTCCTGCAGTAGGTTTTCAATAGCAGAGGCATATTCATCACCATTGAATGCTGTGCCCTCCTCCACAAGAGATCTGCATGTTGGGAAATGACTGAGGTTTTTTGCAGAAAGCTGAGTTTTCCACAATCTTAGTTTTGTGAAGAATGCTTTCACACTTTCATAGGCTGCTGTGATGAGCTGACCTGGGCCCTGGAGCTTCAGGTTAAGGACGTTCAGCTCCTGCGTTATGTCAACTAAGAATGCAAGATCCATGACTTATTTAGGATCATAAAATTCAGGAACATCCATTCTGCCATCTTCCATGAATCTCTTCACCTCTGCTCTTAACTCAAAGAATCTCTTCAGGACATTCCCCCTGCTGAGCCAGTGCACCTCAGTAAAATAAAGTAGATCACCATATGTTGACTCAATTTCTTCTACAAAGGGTCGAAACTGGCGGTGCTGTAAACTCCTCGACCTGATGTAATTGATACATTTCAGGACAACAGACATGACATGTTCATATTTCAAGCATTTGCTACACAGTTCCTGTTGGTGAATAATGCTGTGCAGAACAACTGCTGGATCTGCATTTTCCTCTTCTAACTTTCTTTGTACTAGTGCTACCAGTCCATTTTTGGCAATGCCATCAGTGGCAATGCCGACCAGCCTGTTCCACAGCAAACCAGCGTGCTCAATTGCGTCACACAGCTGCTGAAATATATCTTTGGCTGTGGTACGGCCGTGCATTGGACACAAACTCAGCAACTCTTCCGTCACTTCAAACTGGTCATTAATACCCCTGATGAAAATTGCTAGCTGAGCACTGTCGGTTATGTCTGTGCTTTCGTCAAGCGCCACAGAGTATGCAGTGAAAACTTTAGATTTGCTGCGTAACTGATCATAAATGTCACTCGATAACTCGCTGATCCGCTCTGCCACTGTGTTTGCCGTCAAAGAGAGATTGTTGAACAAGTTTTTCTGCCCTTCTGTGAATGGCTTTCCCGCTTTAGCGATCAACTCACTCACCACATAACTTGCTTCAACTGCAGCATCAGCATCCTTTTTGGCTTTATGGAAAAGATTTTGCTGGGACGTTAGCTCTCTCTGCAACTGCGTGGCTCGTCTTTTTCTCTCGTCTTCCTGGTACTTCTCATACTGTTCTCCATGTTTAGTCGAGTAATGACGCTTGAGATTATATTCCTTTAGAACGGCGACTTTTTCTTTGCATATCAGACAGGTAGCGTTTCCATTAAACTCCACAAAAAAATACTGCAACGTCCATCTTTCTTGAAACTGTCTGTGTTCCTCATCCACTTTCCTTTTCGGTTTGGAAAGAGACATCTTTTCATTCGCACTTCACAGCCAAACAACATAAACTACGAAAGCCCCGAAACCAGCTATCTTCAAATCTGCCTGCATGCACGTTTTTTTATTTATTTTTATTTTGTTATAGAATCATGTCATTCTTTTGAATATGGAATATGTTACGAGACAACTAGAAAATAATAATAATAATAATAGTAATAATAATAATAATTTGGCGGGCCGGATTATGTTTTATTTTTGACATCAGTGCGTTGTGTATCGCGCTGCTTAAACATAAAACCATGTCTGCATTTGTGATCGGAGAAATGACAAACAACAAGCGCTACTCTACACTGCTCAAAACTCGCGTTTGAATCGTCAGTGGCTAATTTTTTTAATATAAAAAAGTACTTACAGTCTGTGAGTCAGAAGCGCCAGACTGTCCTTGCATAGTTGGAACCGCCCCACTTTATAGAAACAGACACCGGCATTGTAGGCTACTGGTTCAGGAAACAGTCCTCATCCTCCGTAAAATGTGCTGCACACATCTGAATATTTGGGTTGAAGTGTTCTGGAACAGTGTTGTAAATACAACTTAACCACTGATTTCTAGTCGTGTCCTCTTTTGGAAGACCAAACAAAGTAGTTTCGCTTTCACAACGAAGCACACAGCGTCTTCACGGCATGGCGGCGGCAGCAACAATACTACAGCGAGAATAAAAGTTACGCCTTCTTTCTTTGTGTGAACATTTGGGCGGCGTTATGCAAATCTTCCCACACAGTGATGTAGACATGTGGGGGCGTGTTAGAACGAGGCGTTTTAGGGGGGCGTGGCTGACTCTTAACTTTTATAAAGAATATCTCTTTGGATTTGAGACTTTAGTCTTTGTAACTTTACAGATCTTCTTTATGCACCAAGAGCTTGTAACACTCCAAAGTCACATCATCATATGATCCCTTTAATATTTTTAATATTATTTATTTTTTTATTATATGTAAACAGTAAGACTATAACTTTGTGGTCCTTCTGAAGACATGTGACTTTTTTGCATATTCATGGCCACGAATATTAGGTATAAATTCTTAAGAGCTACGCATGGATCCCTCATAGACCTCATTTCACTCAGACATCACTTCATATATCTGATTGATTTTACCATTGATGTCCTTTAGCTAGAGATGGAGAGCTTTAAAGATGCTGAAGGAAACCACTGCTTCCAGGATATAGAAGAGCATGTGAATATAGGCTTTTGGAAACAGCTTATTGATTAATTGATTAATATTCTCATTATGGTTGAAAAGGCTAAGTTGTGTTTTATAGTTATGAGGCTATAATTAGTTGTATTCTCATAAACACTATTTTGAGAGGTTATGTCATAAATTTGGATGGGTTTTGAACAATCCTTCGGGTTGGATAAATGTATCTGGCAACCCTGGTTATATCCAGTTCAGTTGAAAGGCATGCTAATAAAAGACGACTAGAGAATGATTTTGACATAAAATCAGGAAATGCTTGGTACCTTTCTATCTTTTCTTTGCCAAAGGTGACTTCTATCGGAGTCCAAATTAAAACCGAAAGGTTCACGGCCTTTGAAACTGTCGCCAGTAGTGCCTGCACTATTTACCTGAGGGTTTCAATGTAGTTTCACACTGAGATTTATTGAAAGCGAGTCTGTCCCAGAACAAAACAGGCTCCAAAACAGAGCTTTTACAAGCCTGGCATAAATCCACTGGGGTGTAGCTCAGATCCAAAAACAAACCCTTAACATGCACGATACACCCGTCAGGGGAGGGAAAAACGAGGTGTCATTTCGGCCACTTTGAGAAAGTGAATTTACAACAGATGCTTCTTTATATATTTCTCAGAGTTGATGCAATTACGTTGGCATTCTAAAGCACATTTTATTATGGGAAGATCATCGAGACAAATGAATCCCCTGCAGAGGCTCAGGTTAATTAGCCAATTACATATTCATTTTATATCATCCTTGGCAGGGAGAGAAGCTTTACCACCCCCGCCTAAACTGCTTATTAAAGACGAGTTTAGGTGCACTGAGAAGATGGATGCACGAGTCCGGCTCTATGCATAAGAAAAAACGAAAATCCCGGAAGAGTAATCTTGAGATAATAGACATTATGGATGTTCTGTTTTCACAAGACACAATGAGTTATCCAATTACCACCCTGCTTAGGTAGCACTTGTATAAAAAGATTAATGGTCTGCAGGTTCGTCCCACATAGAATGTCTCTTTAAAGCGAATCCCAACAATTCATACGAGAACGTAAGGAAAACAAGTCCAGAGCGTTGTATATTAATCAACGAGGGATAACAAATTACATCTGGGGAAGAGTAACATTAAGTACATGCATGTGAAAGGGCACAGAGGTAAATAACGAGACAACTAGGGAGCGCAAACCTTGTTATGGACAGACTCATACTGTAAGCCCCGAAAGGAGGTTCTTCCCGAGATCATGAAATTTACACTGGTTAGAGTCTGAAAAGTACAGATTCACTATGAATATACACCTCCTTTAGGTGATTTGTGCCATTTTTATGCTGAATTTGCAGAGACAATTATGAGTAAGTGAATCGTCTGTTAATTTCCCCAACAAGCAAAACAATGTGGTGCCTTGAAACATTAGTCGGTATGATCAAGCATCATGACCAGCCTGATCTGAGCTAGTAAAGCAGCAGCAGTGACCATCTAACAGTACTAGGTAGTAATTGATTACATGTAATCTGGATTACGTAATCAGATTCCAAAAAATAAAGTACTTGTAATTAGATTATATTACATTTCAAAATTCCGTGTCTACAGTTACTTTTTTATTGATTACATAATTACATATTGTTTACACAATGACAATTTATTGATTTATAGAACTGCTTTTTTTTTCTTTTTCATCTTTTAATTTTCTTCTCTAAAATAGCCTACCGCTTATATACATTGAGAAAGTCCAGTTTTGTGGACATTCACACAAAGACCAGTCACTAGTCAGATGGATAGAATTACACAGAAAACTGAGAGGCCACACCACTGAATTTACAAAAGTCATTTAAATTTAAAGAAGTGTTTTCTCATCATTTCAACACTGCATCAACCTCCGATGAACACATTATTTTTTTATGTGAATTATCACTGAGTGGGTTATTTAACCATGTATTCATGTCTTTGGAAGGATTTTTGTCTTTCAAACACATTAAAATGCACAAATTAGAGTTATTTCTTTTTTTACATGTAATGCAGGAGTTCCTAAACTTCACCTAATATATTTATTCAAAGTTGCCCTGAGATTTTAAGTTTAAAAAGTTAACAATTAACACATTTACATGTTCATGGTTCTCTGATGCTGGTTAATGGTCACATGACATGCAGGTAAACAATAAAATATTTCAGCTTTTTTAGTAAGTGTTTATTTTGATATTTATTTTAGTTTAAATTTTTTTATGATGCAATTAATTATTAGCTTTTCGTTAAACTCAAAAACCGCACACAGTTCCTTCATGAACCCTAGTTTGTGAAAGCTTAATGTAATGTAAAGTTTAATAACAATGAATGGAATATATTTTCTTTCTCTGTGCATTTTTATTTTTTATTTATTTTGTATTTTCAAATTGGTATGAGATTATCCTTTTTAAATCATTGTGACAAACAAGTTAAGTCAAAAGTAATTGAAAAGAAGTCTGATTATATTATCTAAAATGTGTAATGCAACGGATTACGTTACTAAGTACAATTTTTGTCATATAATTTGGAATCAGTAACGGACTACAATTTGTAAGTAATCTACTCAGCTCTGCCTTCTATACTGTCTAAGATCATTTTGAAATTGAAGATGGTCAAAACAATTTTTTCAACATTGTGTTATTATTGTAATAGTTAAAGTTTTGTTTGCACAGCTCCTGTTCACAATATGTGTTGAATCTTCATCCCAGTTACTCAGAAATCAGTAACTTTCAGAACGATCAGCTTTATCATTCAGTGTATGTTTGAATCATCAGATTAGTTCTCCATCATTTCTATCTGATAGACTGTCAGAGCGGTTCATTCAGAATGACAAAGCTCCACAGATGCTGTTTATCCCTCCCGTTCTGTCCTCCAGCACAGCTCTCCTCCTGAGACGCTGATCTCAGTTCTGCGGTTAATTAAATGATGCTGGTCCATTTGGGAGGCTAATCTGTGTGACACGTGTTATTGGCATGTGTCAGATAAGAGCTGTCGAGTGAGTGAGCGATAGCTCAACTGCTGTACTTCCTCAGGGAACGCATCATTAAATTATCATGGCACAATGCAGCTGTTATGGGTGATCATATGAAAAATCAAGAATGGCAAACTTACAGTACAGCGAACGGTACAAATCGCTGAGAAATAATATGTTTACAGCTTAAAAAGTCCAAATCAGTTCTTTGAAGTATTAGATACCATAAAAACTGCAAAAATTATGAACTGCAAAAACGAAAAGTTTTATTGGTATTTGTAGCACTTGCACTTCAACAGAGCCACCAAGGGCAGAGTTCTCCATCAGTTTTTTTTTTTTTTTTCAGTAAATCATCAGGATATCGTTCACCAGCTGTTTCATGAACATGAATGCATTCAGACGTCATACTGATTTGCTTTTATATACTATAATATACACATATTTGGACCATTGTACAGAGGGTGGTGTCGCTAGGCCCTTTTGACAGTGGCACAAGCTTCAGTAAAATACCTCTGTGTCCCAATAAATTGAGTGAGTCTTACCTCACATGTATCAACTGGTCACTGGGGTTCCTCAGGGATCAGTTCTTGGGCCCCTCCTCTTCTCTATATACACTATACACTGGGACCCATCATTCATGCACATTTTCCTACCATTGCTATGCTGATGCTATGCTGATGACACACATCTCTACCTCTCATTTCAGCCAGATGATCCAACAGTACCTACTCGAATTTCAGACTGCCTGACGGACACCTGCAAATCATTCAGAAATGCAGAAGTTTGTCTTGTTTTCAATGAGCCCAAGAGAACCCATGTCACACCGCTTCTCATCT